CAGCATTTCGATCACCTGTCTTCCTGGATGCTGGTCACATAGGTCAGACCATGTTCTGGGACTGGGAGGGGTGCTCCCATGTGTTGCTGGTAGCCCTGGTGGCAGCAAGCGAACTGAATAAATGTTCCATGGGGCAACCAAGCCTCAGGAAAGGGATTTATCCAAGACAGTGTAGTTACCCAGGGCCACTTGCTGACTGTCAGCATTATATTCTGTATTTGGGTAATCCTGTTATAGAGGTGCTGTCTCAAGCACTGTAGTCTCTAAACACTAATATCAATTGCAACTAACTGTTGTGAAAGACAACCATGATATAGACATGGCTAAATCCCTACCTAGCTGAGGACTTCTGAGCCAAAGGATAGAGGAAGGACTTAGATCCCAACATATCACTAGCTCCATACGAGTTCTCACCCAGTCAAGCAGCAGGTCTGCCTCTGGGATACAAGAAGGATGGGATGCTTGGATATTTCTGAGCTGCTGGACTAATCAGCAGTGAAAACATAGTTTCCGGAATCTCTGTGCAGATCCTGCTTCGTGGTGGAAGTGGAAGCAATACTGCTTGTAAATGGTGCAGGAGCTTGCTGTACAGAGCACTTAAGAACGGGCAAAGATTTTGTACATAGGCTTTCATTTTGAGTCATCCAAATACTGTTCAGGGCTGAAAGGCTTATTAATTATCCCATTTTTGTTATAATAAACTGAAATCTAAAATAAATTAGCTTAAGGGTAAAAGGGAATCTGTTGGTTCATGAAACTAAAAAGCTCAGAAATAGAACCCATGGCTTCAGGAATGGCTGGATCTAGATCTTGGATCTAGATCTAGATCTGGGACACTGCTCAACTTGGTGTAGCTCCAGTTTCATTCTTCAGTTTTTTTCCCCCTAATAACCACAAAGTAGGCACCAGCAGCTCCAGCTGTGTGTTGCTAAGCCTTTACGATTTCAGGAAAAAAAAGTTCTAATGTGGTGATGAACACCTTTAGTTCCAGTACTTGGAAGGCAGAGACAGGTGGATCTCTAAGTAGGATGCTAGCCTGATTTACAGAGCAAGTTCCAGGACAACCAGGGCTACACAGAGAAACCCTGTCTCAAAAAAACCAAAACCAAAACAAACAAAAAAAAATGTAGGAAAAGAAAAGACCAAACAGTTTCTTTTTTAATTTTAATTCTGCTGCCTCTAATCTATGTTAACTATAGACATACTTTGACCCTCATACAAGTTCATGTGGTATGTGGATCCAGGTGCATGCTCAGGAGACTTCACATTCCATGGGTTCTAGGCAGTCAGGTATTATTAGACTTGGTAATGGTGTAGTCATTTACACATGTGTCTTCATCTATAATAGGCTAGAAATTTAAGAGTGTTCCTTCTGTTAGGAAGGAGGAACTGTTATAAACTGGGGCAGTGTGTTGAAACACAGATCTGGATTCCACATGGAGAATTTAGATCCAGTCAGTGATCTACAGTTCCTAGAGGATGAAGACATGTCTCTACTTGGGGCAACACTGCTGTTGAGTGAGGCCATAGTTAGGATCTTTTTATTTGATGGCTGAAGAAACAAACTTAGATAACTCAGGTTGTATGACTTAATTCTTTTCTTTCCTTTGGTTATCTTTATTGAAATGTAACTGCTTACCTGCAGTGCAGTCACCAATTTCAAGTATAATAAAATGACTTTTTATAAGTACTTACAGCCATGCAATCACCAGCGTCATGACACGTAACATTTTCATCTTACCCAAAGCTCCTTCAGGCACCTGTCATGAATTCCCTGCTTTCCCACTATTGTTCTGATTTTAGTCACTGTGAATTTGCCTTTTTTAAGTTTTAGACTTATAGAATCAACTGCGCATGTATATCTTTGGCTTCCAGGTCTTAGACCCACACAGTGCTGCTTGGGTTCATCCATGCTGTGTTTGCTCCTGATGTCTGTCTGTGTGGGTTGAGTGATAAGTGGTATTTGATTGCAGAAACGTGGCATGTCATGTTTTTTTTTTTTTTTTTTTTTTTTTTTTTTGGTGTGTGTGTGTGTTTATTGATGTATGTTCTTTCCAGCAGTCAGTGGGCTCTGGAAAGGTTTGGGTTTCACTTGGAATGGACTTGGCTTTTCTGACTTCAGACCTGCTTTTCTTTATGGTTATATGCTCAGGTGACAAGCATGGTACTTAGTAGCTCCTCCTTAGATTTTTTTAAGACAGCAGATATTCCATGGCCTTAGGAAGGAGACAGCTGGGCCTGGAGAGTTGGCTCAGAGATTAAGAACACTTGCTGCTCTTCCAAAGGTCCTGAGTTCAATTCCGAGCAACCGCATGTTGTCTCATAATCATCTACAGTAAGATGTGGTATATAAATAAAAAAATAAATCTTTTTAAAAAAGAAAGAAACTAGGAAGGAGACAGCTGAATATAAGGAATCAGATCAGCATTACATTGTAAAGGGGTGCGATAAAATTGTGGCTTTCCACTTGCTTTTGTAAATAAAGTTTTATTAGACACATCATACCCATGGACAATTCATACAGTGCCAGGGGACATTTCATTACAATTCCATTGTTGAGTAATTATGACCCAAACCATATAGCCTTCAAAAGCTAAAATACTTACTATGAGTCTTACAAAATGTTTCCAACCTTTGCCTTAGATTCAGGGAGGGGAGACACCAGACCAGCTGTTGCCACCAGGAGAGGACAAAAGCAGAGCTTTGGAATACTGGGTAAAAATTAGCTTTAGTCTTTGTGCTTGAAGTCTATCTTGAGACCTAGTTGTGAAACTGGCAAACAAGGAGGGCTCCAATCTGTGAAGGGACTCAGCAGCTGATCATTCTGATGCCTTTATTTTCTAGATGAGAAACTCAGGCCTGTGTGCTGCAGCATGATCTGGTACTTTATCTTTGAGTGTTGATTATTTTGCTTCTCCGAGGTCTGCTTGCTGGCTTTTATGAGCAGACTATCACATACCCCAAATGTTGCTATGTAACCTTGCTCCAAATTATTCCTGATTGGCTAAATAAATACCTACGCCTGGGCAGGGCAGAAGAGAAATAGGCAGAGCTAAAGTTTGAAGGCTTGAGAAAGGATCACAAGAAGGGAGACAGGAGAGAGACCCATAGGAGATAGGAGGAAAGGAAGTAGAAAGACTGGCATGGGTTTGCATAAGGAAGAACCATGTGGCGGGGAGGAATTACTCTGAGGATCAGCATGGCTAGAGAGAAGCAGCCCAAATGGAAAGCATGTGCAAGTATTTATATTATTTTGGATGGGAAGTAGCCCAGATAGGAATGATTAGAGCAAATGGCATGGGATATGGGACTGGGAGATATCTAGGTAGTTTAGGGGGTTAATATCTGCCCAGCCACAGGTGAAATAAGGCTTATGAAAAAATCTATCAGGTGTCTGTATCTTTTTTGATATGGTAGCGGGTTAAATAATAACCGATGTAATAATTGTATCTATGGATTGATAGTAAATATTAATAGCCCTTTATTTTCTACAACACCCATAATTATATGGAGTGACAACTGAGACTGCTTCTGGCCAGTACCTTTCCTCTATGGTGTTCTTGGGTTGTAAGAGGCCCAGGTCAGGCCCAAATTTTGCTAAGGAAACGTTCTGGGAACACAGCCTTTGGTCTTGTTGTGCCTTCTGTTGGTTGACATCTTGGCAAATGTCAGCCTGACCTGAGAAGAGAGAGAGTGAAGAGGCTTGCTGGACTGTGTGTTTGAACATAGGTATTTTGAGACAATTACACTTATCATCAGGTAAATTCATCCTCCTGCTTAACATGACTTGTCATTATGGCTGGAAGACAGATGACTCTGATTGGCTGTTGAGTCACTAATCATCTTCAGAAATTAGGAGGCACCAGCATCCCAGAACCAGAAGGGATTTGTTCAGAGTTGGAGAGAGGATGTTCCCTAGAAGAAAAGATGGACTAGATTACAAAAACTAATAATTATATCCAGGTCCTCCTTTGCTAGTGGATGGTTGTCCCTGCTCCATAACTGCTGAGGACTAAGACCTTCTTTTCCACCAAGCTGATTCCAAGCCCTATTAGTTTGAGGGACAGCTGCAGATTGGAAAGACCAGAATGCCCAGTGCTGGGGAGCATCTGAGACAGCATGCCTCAGTCATTGCCTCAAGCATCCTCTGACCGGGGAAAGCTCAGAGAAGCTGTAGTGTCATTGTAGGGAAAGAATCCTGGTCCCAGCCCCAAATATGCACTGTGTTTTTCATAGGAGGAAAAACCAAAGAGGGTCAAGGAGAGGATAGGCTGAGCCTATTGAAGTAACAAACCAGTGCTAAATGCCTTGGGCTGGATGGCTCACCTTGTTTCTTTTTGAGAACCTTATTAGTAACTTAGTGGCTGAAGCTTAATCTTGTTTCTATGCTTGTTCATCTGGGAATATTCATCAGTTTTCATTAGAAACATCCAAAGAGTGGGCATGAGTTCCCTTATATAGTTTTTTCAGGTGTGGGGTGGCTACAGGCATGTTTGATCCAGAGATCTGGATATTACTAGGGACCAGCTCTGCTTCTTGTCATATTCTTAGTTCTGAGCTCCTGGTTCAGCCTCATTGTCACAGCAGCTTTTCACAAAAGGTCAAGGACACTGTCGTAGGCCCTGGCCCCCAGAGCAAGAGAGAGTATGCCAGTCGGGTTGGTTTAGTCCATGGTCCTGATACCTTCACCTAGTCACCAGAATTAGGCTTTGTTTCATGTTGTTTGGCCAGACAGGGAATAGAGCCATTATCACCAGAACCACTGATGTCTCCTTATAGAAACTGTAGTACTGCAGAACAGAGCCAGTTGTGGCCTGGCACCATTCTCTGCTCTAGACTTCTCTCTCTGAGTGTGCAAACCCTACAAGACAATGGCCTCCATTTACCATTATCTTGTTTCATCTAACTAGGACTCTGAACCCAATTGTAGAGTAACATATGGCCCTTCCTGGTGCTCCCCTGATCTCATCACATACTTTTTTTTTTTGTCTTGTCTCCAGACAGAGATTACTACAGTCTATGTGACAAGCAACCAATTGGGAGACTGCTTTTTCGACAGTTCTGTGAAACCAGGCCTGGACTGGAGTGCTACATTCAGTTCCTGGACTTAGTGGTAAGTCCCTGCCAAGTGGTCCTTGGGTCTTCTGTGATCGGCAATTAGTTTTGTCAGGAGGAAATAAAGATAGTCCGATGGTTTTGAAACATGAAGAATCTAAACTATTGTTCCTTGAGAAACTGAGAAGGTTCTTTCTGAATGTGCACCTACATGCCAGAAGCGGGCAGTAGAGGGTATGGATGGTTGTGAACCACCATGTGGTTGCTGGGAATTGAACTCAGGACCTCTGGAAGAGCAGACATTGCTCTTAACCACTGAGCCATCTCTCCAACCCCTAGGAAGGTTCTTTTTTTTTTTTTTTTTTGCATTCTAAAACATTACTATTTATTGAGTTATAAGATAAACAGAACAAGAGTAAAAAGAGGGAGTAGAGTATATAGAATATTTTCTTTTTTTATTTTTATTAATTACACTTTATTCACTGTAGCTCCCTCCCTCCTCCCCTCCCAACCCCTCCCTTCCTCTTCCTTCTCCACACATGCCTCTCCCCAAGTCCACTTGGGGAGGTATTCCTTTCCTTCCTTCTGATCCTAGTCTATTAGGTCTCATCAGGAGTGGCTGCATTGTCTTCCTCTGTGGCCTGGTACGGCTGTTCCCCCCTCAGGGATTGGTGATCAAAGAGCAGACCAATCAGTTCATGTCAGAGATAGTCCCTGTTCCTATTACTATGGGACCCACTTGGACACTGAACTGCCATGGGCTACATCTGTGCAGGGGTTCTAGGTTATCTCCATGAATGGTCCTTGGTTGGAGTATCAGTCTCAGAAAAGACCCCTGTGCCCAGATTTTTTTGGTTCTGTTGCTCTCCTTGTGGAGCTCCTGTCCTCTCCAGATCTTACTATTTTCCCTTTCTTTCATAAGATTCCCTGCACTCTGCCCAAAGGTTGGCCATAAGTCTCAGCATCTGCTTTGATACCCTGCAGGGTAGAGCCTTTCAGAGGCTGTCTGTGATAGGCTCCTGACTTGTTCCCTGTTTTCTCCTTCTTCTGATGTCCAGCCTCTTTGCCTTTCTGAATGGAGATTGAGCATCTTAGCCAGTGTCCTCCTTCTTGATTAGCTTCTTTAGGTGTACAGATTTTAGTAGGTTTATCCTATATTATATGTCTAATATCCACTTATGAGTGAGTAAATACCCTGTGTGTCTTTCTGCTTCTGGGACACCTCACTCAGAATGATCTTTTCCAATTCCCACCATTTACCTGCAAATTTCATGATTTCCTTGTTTTTTATTGCTGAGTAATATTTCATTGTGTAGATGTACCACAATTTCTGTATCCATTCCTCAGTTTAGGGGCATCTGGGTTGTTTCCAGCTTCTGGCTATTACAAATAAAGCTGCTACAAACATGATTGAGCAAATGTCCTTATTGTGCACTTGAGCATCTTTTAGATATATGCCTAGGAGTGGTATAGCTGGATCTTGAGGAAGTGCTATTCCTAATTATCTGAGAAAGCACCAGATTGATTTCCAAAGTGGTTGTACAGGTAGCTGTTTGGTGCTGTTGCCCTTCCTCCAGCCCAAATGCTTCAGATAAAATACACAGTATCTTTTTTACCAGTTTACTATTTCCCCACAGAATGCAAACTTTTGGCTTTTGAGCTTTTTGTTCACCCCATCCAGCAAAGTTTCCTGAAGACACAGGTACAATCAGTAAACTCCTGTTCAGTGAGTGGGTGCCCATTGGCAGTTTCAAGCCAATCTTTCATGTCTCTGTGTCAGGTGACTGTGCCTGATGTTTCCAGGACTTTCTTCAGCTGTGTTGTCAAATGAGAGAGCTTTTAGGAAGATTAAGAAAATACTCAGAGTCCCTCAGCCTTTGATCAAGATGGTTGTGGCCCCTCAGGCTCATGGCCTGGTAAACTACCTTTTAGATTTCTATCTGAGGATGGAGATTAAGAGCTCTAGGGAGCAGGAGAGAGCAACAGAGAACTCCTGTGAAGGGAGTGGGATCATCTGGGATCTCTTCTCAAAAGTAGAACCAAGACACTATTGTTTCTTAGAGACTCATTCGGCCTCTATCTCTGTTTAGGTGCTTCTCCACAGGACTCAAGTTTATATGTCTCTTCAGAGTTTCTCTGTGGTCTCTAGACTTATAAGCAAAGCTGGGGTAGACAGCTCCACTAAAGTTTCACCACCAGGTCAACATACCCAACATATGCAGCCACTTCTCCCAGGTCCCCAAAACTAACAACCCTAAGAATGTTCCCTGCTCCCCAGTTACTGGAAGATGTAGTCTTTGCAGTTCCCTTAACTCTTCCCTGTTCCTCCTTCTTCCCCCATGCTTTGGGATCATAGTCATAGCTCTTTGACATCGTGATCCCTTATCATCACCTGTGGACTCTGCCTCAGTCCTGGCACTGCCTTCTTATACTTGAACGATCAAACTAGTTCTGAACCATGACTGAGGATTAAAAACACCTGAGAATCTTAAAACTACCAGCGCCCTAGCCAAAACCCAGACTAATGAATTTGGATCTCTGAAAGTGGGCCCTGGTATTTTTTATAACTTATTGTTATGAAAAGTTTCAAACTATTAAAAAAGTAAAAGTCAGCTGAAAAATGTAATGAGGGCCATGTGCCTTTCACCTTACTTCAGCAGTGTTCAGCTCCTGACTTCTACCCTCCCTCATCAGTAGCAAATATTAGCTATCAAAATTGTTTCATCTAAGAAATTTTCAGTATGTATCTCTAAAGAGTAAGGGCTCTTTAAAACAAACAAAAAACCAAATGACTAAGGGTTTATGTCTTAGTCAGTGTTCTGTTGCTATAAAGAGACTCCATGACCAGACATTTGGCTGGAAGCTTGCTTACAGTTTCAGAGGCTTAGTCCATTATCATCAAGGTGAGATGGGAAGTGTGGCAGCTTGCAGGCAGGTGCTGGAGCAGTAGCTGAGAGCTACATTTTGATCTAAGGCAGTCAGAGAGAGATATTGGGCTTCTCATGGGCTTTTGAAACCCCAAAGCCCATCTCCAGTGACATATTTCCTTCAACTAGGCCATACTTACTAATCCTCTGCAAGTAGTGCCATTCCCTGATGGTCAAGCATTCAAAGATATGAGCCCGTGGGGCCTATTCTTATTCAAACCACAACAGCTTAGGGTGTGCTTCAATGGTAGAGCTCTGGCCTAGTACACATAAAAGACCTGGGTTCCATACCTAGCAATGCATAAAAATAACATGTAGAAGAAGGAGAAGGAAAGAAAAGAGGAACATTACAATACTGTTAATTACAGCTAAGTATTTCTTTTTCTTTTCTTTCTTTTTCTTTTTCTTTTTTTTCTTCAAGACAGGGTTTCTCTGTGTAGCCTTGGCTCTCCCGGAACTCACAATGTTGGCCAGGCTGGGTATCTGAATCATCTCTTCCCAAGATGCCTCTCCATGATCTCATTTCCCTGACAGATGCCTGCTTTCTTTTCCTAGTCCTGTTCACAAAGCCTTCCCCACCTCACTTTCCCTGTCTCCTATGCCCTTGTTACCTGTGTACATTTGCATTATTATTACACTGTACTGAGAGTGTATTGATGGAATATATGGCTATTGAAGGAAATTGTTGGGTTCAGATATGGGCTGCCAGAATGGTAGCTCTTGTGAGACTGTGGGGAGGTGTTAACTTCAGTGTATGAGGGATTCCTCTTTTTCAGGATCTTTGGTTATGCCCATCAAACCTGAGGACTAATGGTCAAGCATATACTAAAGCTCACTGTGCATACCTACCTATTGAACCACATGGACTGTATTTTAGAGAGCTCTCAGTTTCCTTTCTTCAGAGACCCAGAACACTGTGATCCATAGCAAAGCTTTCACTTGAGCCTGGATGAGAAGCCCCAGTATCAAGCTCCTCATGATTCTTTAGCCTTTCATTCATATAACACAAGTACTCTTTGCTAGTTAGAATTCTAGACATTTGGGATAAAGTGATGCAATAAACTAAGATCTTTGAACTTAGCCAGGAAAGGGTTGCCATATTCCATAAGCAATGAGGCCAGTGTTTCTAAACCCTAAAATGTACAAAAAAAAATAATAGTACAGTACAAAAAAAATAATGACCAGAGCAGATTATAGTGTTGGTAGTAAGGAAAAGAAAGCCAGACTATAGTGTTGAGAATGGTCAACATAGGTATTCTTGCAAAGGTGACATGTGACTGAAGACTAGACAGAGTGGGATCTAATAGGTAATGAAAGGGGTTTACAGATAGGGAGCCTGCAGTGATAAGGCCTTTTGGCAAGAGTGTCCGTGGCTGGAGAGGAAATCGAACATAGGGTTAGAAGCATTGATTACACAAGACCATATACCTCAAGAACTTTGGCTTTTATGTTGCATGAAGTGAAGGAAGCAGTGGGGAATTTTAGCAGAGAACTGGATGGCATCTGGTGTAGGCTGGCATAGGTGAAATATGAGAGCTCTGAGAGGAAGCAGTTTATACCAATCCAGATGAGAGCCACAGTGTTTGGGCCAACAGGGAAACTATAAGGACAGATGGTTGGATTGGGATTGGGGGTATGTCTTGAAGGCAGAATTCCCAGTGTTCCCTGATGAATGAGATGAGATAGAATTGTTGAGGATGTTTTCTCTATTAGTTGCTTTGGGTCAACAGAATAATTGACAAGCAGCTTAAGGAAGCAGATTTATTTTGGTTCATTATGGTGGGGAAGTCTTTGTGTCAGGAGCTTGAGGCAAGTGGTCATTTGCATCCATAGTCAAAAAGTGGAGAGTGATGGATACAGGTTGTCCTTGCCTCTGCCTCTCCCTATGTTCCTTCTTCCTTCTTCTTTAAAAAAAAATTCATTCATAAGGTTGTGTGTGTGTGTGTGTGTGTGTGTGTGTGTGTTGGTGTTTTGGCTCCATGAATATCTGTGTATCATGTACATGCCTGGTACTCTTGGAGGCTGGAAGAGGATGTTGGATCTCCTGAGACTGGAGTTACAGACAGTTGTAAACAGCCATATGGGTGGTAAGAATTGAACTCAGGTCCCCTGGAATAGCAGCCAATGCTCC